TGTCCCCCTTGGTTCGGATGTTGATGACAGCCCCACACACCTCCCGGCTGTGCCCGCCCCCCGGGGACCGCCCCCGGCGACCCGACCGCCCAGCTACCCGCCCGCGCAGTCCCGTCGGAGCCCCGCCGCCTCTAGGCCTGACTCCGCCCCTGCCCTACTCTGTCCCTTTGGAGCCCCGCCTCTAGGCCTGAGTCTAGGTCCTCCGGGCCCCGCCCCCATGCAGGCCCCGCCCCCGACCCGGAGCCCCGCCTCTAGGCCTGACTCCGCCCCGAGCGCCGGCAGCCACTTACATCTCCCCAGGGTCCTGCGGACCCGCCTGAGAAGCCTGATGATGGCACCGCTAGTCGCGGGCACGAAGCACCCCCAGTTACTCCTACCCTACAAGGCTCGGTAGCAGCGCCGCCCCAGGCCCCAGCCTTGCTGTCGGAGCCCAGTCCTGGAGAGGAGTAACTGCTGATCTGATGAGCAGATGGGGACGGCGATAGGGATGGTGTTTTTAACACAAGTGCAGGTAGCTTTATTACAGTGTAGTCGCATCAGATGCGCTTTTCACTCAACGGAAATTCATCTCTACCTAGACTGGCTCAGATTCAGGCCAGATGACAGCTGGGTCTTGTGAGGGACGCGCCTCCTGCTCCCTGACACTGCGGCGTTGCCAGGGGCATATACCCGACCCCCTGGCTCTAAGCCCTCTGACGTGGAAACCTGTCCCCTTCCGTCTTACCCCTCTCACCGTACTAGCTTGGGCCTGATTGGGCCCTGAGGGGGGGGTCTCACATGAGCCCCCTCAAGGCCGGACCGGAGATTAAGGTTTGGGGGGGCTCAAATTTTACTCAATTTTAGAACTCTCAAAAATAATTCTAATTTTGTTCAAAAGTGTTTATTTAGAACAGGAACAGAAAAAGGCTTAAACTTCATCACCTTTCAGCTAATCCACCTCAAGCAGAACCATGAAGAGACCTAACCACCGCTATCCTCCACTCCTGGGCCAGGACCTCATCTATCTACCCACCTCCACTGCAGCCTGACCTGAGCAAGGCCCACACACCCCTGGCCACAGCTGAGGAAAGGGCAAGAGGACACACCTGCCTCTCTGTGAGATAATAGGGTTCTGCCCCTAAGCCTCCAGCCCTTGTGATGTACAGCCCCACTCCAGGGACCCACCCACATCTGGTTGAGGGAGGGTACAAGATACAGGGTAGGTCCAAGTAGAGTGATCACAAAGAGGAGAGCCCATCCCCCACCCCGTCCTTGAGCCCCAGCTCTCAGTGTCAGTGGCCTTGACAGAAGAGTTACCCTCAGGCCACCCGGCCCCTGTCCCAGGGGTGCACAGAATAAGTGCTGGACTGTAGGATTCTCTTGTCATTTCCACCTTCAGTTGAGCTCTGCTTCCCCCCTTCCTCCGTGACTCACCCCAGCCCACCCTCAGATGAAACAAAGACACTCAGGGCTTTCCTCCACATTTCCTGGGTCCTCAGGCTGCCTCCCTGACCACAGAGCTGTCCCTAGGCTTGAGCCCCAACTCAGGCCTAAGGACATGTTCATATTCACTCCAGGACATGGGAGAACCCCATTCTGTACCCACCAGTTCTGCCCAGCATCAGCACTGTAGTCCAGTACCCCCTTACACACACACACACACACACACACACACACACACACACACACACACACAGCAGGGAGAGGCTCAGGGGCAGTTGAATGGAGAGTGGTGCCAAAGTCTCATCACACCACAAACTTATTCTTGGCTAGGGAGTTGCTCTTGGTGGCCGTGTCTGCATGGGCCTGGTACCCAATGACGATCTTTGTGGAGAGGCCCAGGCGCTCTTTGTAGACCTGCC